GTGGGGGCCGCCCACCATCACAACTTCCTGTCTTGGAAATACGTTTTTAAATCATGTCAGACTGATTTGCTTACAAAATCTGTAAAAGCTTAATAAAGAAAAATCGGGGTGTCGGGTTCGGGTCTGTAATCACAGTTAATTGGTCGGTTTCGGGTCAGGCTTGGAAAAAATGATATGGGTTCGGTCCAAGTTGGATTTCTTAGGCCCGAATTCAACTCTACTCAGCATGGTTGGGATTACCAGTTTAATCCAACATGCTAATTTATTAATTAAATAAAGGGTTCAAAGGACTCATTTGTTGAGTTTAAGTTTTTAAAACGTTGAGTTAAGAAGAACTAGCCAAAATTTGGGTTATTTGGTCATAACAACTAGGGTTGATTCTAGCTAGCTGGGGCTAACTGGCATTAACGTCGGCTTGTTAGCGCTAGCAAATGTTTTGAATACGTATAAAGCCAAAGATGTGTCCCAATTCAGCAGCCGCATCCTTCGAAGGACCCGACCTACCCGGTCGACGTAGGTCCTTCAAAGACCACAGAACAGAACTCAGTGGCTGTGAATTGGGATGGTCTGGTCTTCAGATTTACGTCGGTGTATGTCCTGTAACCTATAAATGTTCTATTTACCATACCATACCATACCAACTTTATTTATAGAGCACTTTATGCACCCAACAGGACCAAAGTGCTTTACACAATTATAAAATACAATACAATGATAAAATGGAAGGGTAAAATTTAAAACAGGAATAAAATAATAAAATAAAATACAAACACAATAAAACAAGGTAAAACATCTCAGATTGTGCTAAAAGGCCAAAGAAAAAAGATGAGTTTTAAGAAGGGACTTAAAAACCTCAATTGAAGAGGCCTGTCTTATGTTCAATGGAAGGTCATTCCAGAGCCTGGGAGCTATCACAGAAAAAGCTCGGTCCCCTCTAAGCTTACGCTTTGTCTTCGGGACCTTCAGAAACAACTGGTCAGCTGACCTGAGTGAACGAGAGGGTGTGTAAGAATGTAGCAGCTCAGACAGGTATGGAGGGGCATGGCCATTTAAAGCTTTAAAAACAAATAAAAGTATTTTAAAATGAATCCGGTAATGCACCGGCAACCAATGTAAAGAGGCCAAAACAGGAGAAATACTGTCAAATTTCCGTGTACCTGTTAAAAGTCGTGCAGCTGCATTCTGAACCCTCTGAAGCTGGGAAATACATGAATCACTAATACCTATGTAAAGTGCATTGCAGTAATCTAGCCGTGTGGTCACAAATGCATGGATTGCTGTTTCAAAATGCTGTCTGGGAAGAATTGGTTTTACTTTAGCCAGCTGCCTCAAATGAAAAAAGCCTGACTTTACAACTGTTTTAATTTGAGACTCCATCCCAAGACCAGCATCCATCTTGACCCCTAAATTTGTAACAACTGGCCTGACATACTGAGCCAAAGAGCAGTCAACAGGCAGAGAGTCTTCATTCGAGCTGCCAAAAATCACTACCTCTGTCTTGTCTTCATTTAATTTCAAGAAATTTTGGGCCATCCATGCCTTCAAATCCTCCAAACATAGAAACAGAGACCGAAGAGAAGTGGAATCTGCTTTCTTTAAAGGTAAATAAATCTGCGTGTCATCAGCATAACAATGAAAAGCAATCCCGTATTTCCTAAAAACAGAGCCAAGAGGAAGGAGATACAATAAGAACAAAAGAGGACCCAAGACTGAGCCCTGCGGAACACCACATGATAGAGGAGCAGAGGATGATCTATTGCCATCAAGACAGACACAAAAAGTGCGTTTTGTCAAATAAGACTTAAACCAGTCTAGAGCTGTTTGACCAAGGCCCACATATTGTTCCAGACGAGCAATTAAAATCCTGTGATCAACTGTGTCAAAAGCAGCTGATAAATCCAACAACACCAAAACAACACAATCACCAGAATCAGTTGCCCAAAATATATCGTTAAAAACTTTTAAGAGAGCTGACTCTGTGCTATGAAGTGATCTAAAACCAGATTGGAAAATCTCTAAAATATTATGTTCAATGAGATAAGACATTAGTTGCTTATAAACTACCTTCTCAAGAATTTTCGAGATGAAAGGCAATTTTGAAATTGGTCTGTAGTTCGCTAGGACAGCAGGATCCAAATTTGATTTCTTAATTAGAGGCTGGACAACTGCATGTTTCAGATTTTCAGGAACAACACCTGAGGACAAGCTACTATTAACAAGAGCAAGGATCGACAGACCTATAGTATGAAAAACCTCATTGAACAGTCGAGGTGGAATAGCATCATCTGGAGAACCAGTTGGCTTCAAGTGACTAACGACCTCCTGCAGGGATTGCAAAGTCACACATTCAAAGCTATTAAAAACAGCAGGGCAAGACACAGTATCAATAGGGTCATACACAATGGGTATGATCTGTGCCCTAATAGAAGTGACTTTCTCAACAAAAAAGTTTAAAAAGCTTTCACAAACAGCTGGGGAAGTCTCCACAAAAGCACCATGTGGGGCATTTAGAACAGAGTTAATAGTTTTAAATAAAATAGCTGGATTGCAACTGTTTGAAACAATTATATTTGTCAGGTATCTTCTTTTAGCGTCTTTTACAATCCTTTGATAACAGCGCCAGCATTCCTTTAATATTTGCAGCGACACCTGCAAATTATCCTTTTGCCATTTTCGTTCAGCTTTACGACAGTTCCTCCTGGCAGCCCGAGTGTCGTCATTTAACCAGGGTTCATGTTTGGATTTTGCAAGTCTAGTTTTTAACGGTGCCACCGAATCCAGAGCTGCTTTGCTAGTAGAATAAAACCAGTTGCTGATATCCTCGGTTTTATTTCTGACAGTCTCTGGGATTGTACAGTTCTTATTAAAAACAGAAGAAAACTGAACAGCAGTAGAAGGGTTAAGAACACGACAGAACCGAACTGGTGCACATGGTTTAACCTTAGTAATAGACTGCTTTATCTCAAATAAAACAGGCATATGGTCTGAAAATAATGGGTCACCAATCACTAAATTAAAAACTGGTAGACCATAAGATAAAACCAAGTCAAGAGTGTGTCCATGCTCATGGGTAGCACCAGTTACAGACTGCACAAGATTAAAAGACTCAATAACATTAAGAAACGACTGAGCCATAGGTGAAGTAGGACAACAGATACGAATATTAAAATCACCAACCAATAAAACTCTGTCATATCGTGGCATGATATCAGCCAAGAAATCAGAAAAATCACTTATAAAATTTTTGTTATATTTAGGGGGCCGATAGACCACCGCACACAACACTGTGTGGGAGCTAAGAAGTTCAAAGAGACCAAGCTCAAAGCTACCAAAACGGACTGGATGCAACTGTTTACAAGTAAAACAGCTTTTAAAAACTGTTACTATTCCTCCTCCTCGTCCAGACATCCTTGGAAAATTGAAATAGCAGCAGTTTTGCGGCAAGAGTTCATTAAAAACGCTGGACTCACCCATACCAGTTGTCCAAGATTCCGTTATGAATAAGAAATCCAGGCTTTGAGAGGAAAAGTAATCCTTAATGGCGAAGGTTTTGTTTGCTAGCGACCTAGCATTTATCAGACCGATCCTGGCAGAGATTGGCGGATCTCCGCCACCATCTGACGTCCGAGATTCCCGGCGAAGAGGTCGCAGGTTGTGAAGATTCACCACACGTCTATAGGGCCGAGGAGTGCAGGGAAAACGGGGCTGGAACAGTCCATCATGGCTTCCATCAACAGGCACTAAACAGGTACCCACAGGATCCAACGCACGTAACGGGAAGTAGAGGCGCGGCACCCGCCCACGAACATTGAATGGGTCTGGACATCGATGCCCCAAAGCAGCCTTCAAACGCACCAACCAGCCGCTACGTTTGCCACGGCGCTTCCGTCGAAAAGGTAGAGGCCAGAAGCGACACAGGTAAGCTGGAATGCCCAGCAACAAGGGCGGGGTTTTTCCACTAGTAGGATTCCACGATAACATATTACCAGTCGAGGCTCCAATCGAAGCTCTAATGTCTAGCAATTTTTGGCGATCATAGACAATCCGAGCGTTTACACTTGCATTGAGGATAAAAATAGACAACAGAAAAAATAGTAGGAGCAGCAGACAGCGAGCCTCAAACACTGGCGCCATCTTGATCCTTATTTGTGTTCGCTTTATAACTCCCTGGCATTATTGTCTTGTTCATTTTGTTTTATAATGTTGATATTGGTTTTTGCACTTTTGTTAACATTTTTATTGTCAATTAAATAAAAAAAATGTCCTGTCACCTAGCAACCGTGACGGCGCGCAATCAAAGAAAGAGATCGAAATTGTGTTAAGGGTTGTTTTTCTGCTTTTTTATTTCTAGAGGAAATACGAACTTTATCGCTGCCTTCGGCATGTTTTATATCTTCTGCTGAGAGACAATCATATCAATTCAATTAAATTCAGTTTATTTATATAGCACCAAGTCACAACAGACGTCATCTCAGGGCACTGAACAGAAACATTCATATATAAAAATAAGTCAACAGAAAGTCATATATAAAAATATTAATTTAACATTATTTATCTGAGGAGCAGACTGTTTTGAGTTTAACTCCATCACAGAACTCTCATCTTGACCAAGCATGAAGGCAACAGTGGAAAGGAAAACTCCCTCATGAGGAAGAAACTTTTAGCAGAACCAGACTCAGGCTTATATTATTATTATATTTCAAGGAATAACTGTTAACTTAAGCTAGTTTCATAGATAATGTCAGTGACTACACTATGATGTATTAACTTTATTAACTTGTGCATAATAAATAAAATCTAAATGTATCTTATTAATCTATTAATAATTTAATACAATTTAATTCATTTAACTATTAAATTAATTTAATTTATTGTAATCTTTAAATCATCTTAAATTTAGAATACAGCATAACATTGTCCAATATTTTATTTTATAAGATCCATTGGTACATAAAGTGGTTGTAAACATGATGAAAACAGACCTTTCATTTCAAGCCACTATGCCCATGGTTGAGGTCATGGGGACTGATGGGCCAGCTTTGGTGTACACACAATGGACACACGATGATGTTAAAAATGCAGCAGACCTCTTGCCAAGCCCAGAAGAAGATGGAGTGAAGTTTGTCACCAAGTCTCAGGACTTCTACAGAGAAATGAGGTCCACGGTTGCTGAAATTTGTCGCATCCTGGCCAAAAAGATCAAAGCCTGCGATCTGGCCGAGGTGGATCCCCTTCCACATCTCCAACTTCAGCTCACCAACTTAGACTACGATCATGGATAATGACCAGTATACAGCAGCCATGACCCGTTTGTGTGTCAAAATAAAGGCCAAGTTTCTGCAGAAGATGGACACGAATGCCCTAAAAGCTGTCACACAAAGACCTGATGAACGTGTCCATGACTTTCTCCATCGCCTGGAGGAGGCATTCAGCAAACACTCTGGCCTCACTCATCCCCGAGACTTAGGTGGTGAAACAGGGCCCTGGGAAAAACTACTCTGTAGTTGCATCATGGACGTCCTGAAGTCTGAACCTACACACCTCTGATTAATATGTCATGGTTGCAGCTTCCAGAGTCTTGCAAGCTGCAAAACTTACACATAATTAACAGGTGTCAGTGCATTAGCGTTGAAGATGTGCAGGTCAACTGAGAACAGTGAGCTTTGACTTTTGTAGCAGTGCATCAAATGGTGACAACAAAGTTCAAGAAAATGTGAAGAAAAATAAAATCCATATATGGTGAAATGAGTTAAAGTTATTGCATAATGACCTTGTAAGGCTTGTGATGTTGAATATTTTGCCTCCAAACATTTAAATAAGAGTGTCAGTGTGACACTCTGACTTTTGAGTAGCTTAAACCAGTGGTTCCCAACCCTGGTCCTTGAGGAACACCATCCTGCGTGTTTTAGTTGATTCCCTGCTTTGACACACCTAATTTGAATCAATAGGTGATTAACAGGCTTCCGTAGACTAGATGATGTAATTAAATCACTGAATCAGGAGTGTTGGAGCAGAGAAACAGCTACAACATGCAGGATGGTGTTCCTCAGGGACCAGAGTTGGGAACCACTGGCAACCATCCCAAATTTTATTTTTCACTACTGAAGGAATTAAAATTTTCTTTCAGAACCCCATAATGGACACATCCAAACTCTCATTGGTATCTGCGCTCAGTATTTTATTTTCAAAGCGTTAAGGGTCTATTTAACTTGTCAAACCTTTTACAGAAAACCCTGTAGTTGCACAAAAACTCATGTACGATGAGGAGACCCTTCTAATGCTTGCGGTTTGGCCGTCTTTTCAACCCTACAAGTGTTTTTTTTTTACAATGAGAGTTTCTTCAAGACTTACTTTCTACTCTGTGTTTCTGCCTGCCTGTTTTTATCACGCTGTCAGAGAATGAGACGCAGGTGTGTGGTTACCATGGTGATCTTAATCAGCTGCTGGCAGCATCCTTAACATTTCTTTTGATCTTTGTTCTCTTCTACAGTTTATTCATCAAAACCTGAACATTTTGTCAGCTTCGATTATTTCAAAATAAAAGTCCCCAGTTCTCGTTATTGGGTTTTATAGAAAAACATTGAAGATGTTTGAATTTCAGGCATCGTTCAAAAGGTTCTTCTACAATATTCTAGTTGGGAGAAATGGTTCAGAAAAGCGTGTACTCTCTTAGTAACTTTTATTTCTGCACTCTGGTGGTTTTCCTGTCCACAAATGTCTGGGTGATCTTTAATTTTTATTTATTTATTTTATTGTATTTGCAGAGTTCTTTAGAGACATGCAGCAAGCAGTGCCCAGCTAAAAATAAACCGTCAGTGTCCTAAAAGCATCTGAATGCAGTGTTGTTGTGGTTTCAGTTTGCATTTTCATTTCTCTTTTTCTCTCTCAGATTTATTTCTTTGCTAAATTTTACAGCGTTTTGAGTGTCGGGGCAACTGCTGCACATCACAGTTCCCCTTTTTTTCAGTACGAATAAAGTAGCTTAGTAGAGAATCATTTGTCAAATTTGAACATTTGGATTTTTTATTTAGCATCTTTAGGCCCCTCCCCTACAGTTGTTTCATTTTTTGTTTGTTTGCTGAGACTTGACGTCTGACAAAACTTCAGCTCAGACGTTAAACTTGCAGCTTCCAGTCAGCTGCGTCTGTTCTCTTGAACGTATTTACTTTAGCAGGAATGATACTGTTGGTTAAAGTTTAGCTCATCAAGCTTCCCTTTAAAAGGAATATCGATTAAAAACTCTAAAATTAAATGAGTTATTATTTTTAAACTCAATTCAACGCAAGAGAAACTGTAAATCTTCTGAGCTCTCATTTATACACTTTTTACTCTTAAGGGATCCAAATATTCTTAAGTGGGAGTGCCACAGAAAAGGGTACAAGGCATTTTTAAATTTAATATTATTCTTAAACGTGTTAAAAGTTAAAGGGTCTGAGTATACACTGAAGTGGTCCAGAATAATCATGCTAACGGTTTGATTCGTTCTGATGTACGTGTGCTCGTGGTTCAACTCTCTGCTGCTCCTCTCTCAAACCTGAAACCTTCAAACAAAACTCTTGTCCTGGTGAACATTAACTTTTATCTGCAGATTCAGAACAGGAGTAGAGGTTTTCAGACTTAATAGAAGAAAGAACAATGTTAAAGAGCATTTTTTTTAAAAAGGTCTTTCAAAGACAGTGCACGTAGTGTAGATCTGATCAAATCTGAACCAACCGTTCTTTTTGTATATTGTTATACTTTCATATAAAAAGAAAACAGCTTGTTTAAACCATGGATTAGTTATGGTTAGGATTTATTGAGGAGAGAGCTCTGTTGAAAGATTATGAGCAATAATTATCTTACCTGTTGTAGATAGCTCTCAGAATGGCCTCAATTTGGAAAGGTAAAGTTTAATTCTGACGGGACTGATAAGTTGTTGGGTCCGAGCAAGGCCAAGATCAAAATGAAATACAGTAACCTTAAACAACCCCAATCAAACTTCCCAGTTTTCAGAACTGGTCATGCTAATTCTATTTTATACATTGGAAATAGTGGCAGCAGCAGTTAGCTGTAACACTTCTTTTGCAGTCTGCGGCTCTTTAATCAGGAACATTATGTTCAGGGCTTGATATTAGCTGGATCCTGCAATTTAATTCAATTCAGTTTATTTATATAGCGCCAAGTCACAACAGAAATCATCTCAGGGCACTGAACAGAACAGGATCTGGGAACTCTCTTATTTTGACAGGGTGGTTCCGGTAACTGTTTGATTGGAGCCAGTAACTCTCAGGCCTAACAAATTTGACTGCCTCGAACGAATAAAACCTATTCTGGATATGCAATCGGAAAATCATTACATAAACACTAATTTTAAACATAACAACCACTTATGAGCTTCCTAATATCAAATAAGAGCTGCTCCTTCAAGTAAGCATTTCCACTTTTACCCTTTTAACAAATCTCCTCCCCTAAAAGTACTGTCATGGACAATTTGATTTAAAACACAAAAATGTAATTAAACAGCACAAATAAATTGCAAATCAGTTTTATACTTTAAGTGGGTCGTTAATAAAATTTTGATTATTTATTAAAATATAAAAAATGTTTGATGGGTAATCACGTTACTACATCATATATCAAAACAACGGTGTCAATTTGTTAAAAAATAACAGTGAGCAGAATATCGAAAAGATAGTCCATTTTACTTTCACCTAAAAACAAAAGACTTCTCATTGTACAACTAAACAACAGAGAATTGAAGCACATGAAGGTAGTGGCAAAGGAGATAGTACTCGACGCGTGCGCGGGGGGTGAGGTATTAGGATGCTTGAGAGAAGCGGAGCGTGCTCTATTCACACAAGGAGAGCTGTTGGTCAGTCTCCTTCTTGTTGTGCCATTAACTCTAAAATAGTTATTGAATCAAGTGTTTACAAATATAGGTAAACGTAGATGTTTAACAACCTGTTAAAATACACCAGAATGTAGAAATAGCATCTATTGAAAATTTTCTGGGGGAGGACCCTCAGATCCTCCCACCACTTGCGTTCCGGCATCGTTTGGTTTACAAATTAAGCACTGGTTATGTTCTTTCAGCCATGATAACAGTGTAGCAAAAAAAAAAGTCTACAATGTAAAAGTTTAAAAATCAGCGTTTGTTTGAATCACAGAGATTTTTTTGAGAATCGTGTTATTGACATCTACTGAAACCCACTCAGTCGAGCTGTTAGCTCATAAAGCTGGTCAGAGTTAAACTCTTTATTCAAGCCAAAGTCTTTCAAAGACCTACCTACAACAGGTAGGATATTAAATACAACTAATGTTTCCACAGAACCCCATGTCCAAAAGTCAGAATGGTCAGTTTGGTTGCATATGAAAGCAAAGGATGAGAAAAAAGATCACCGATGTTTGGATTTTTTTTTTTTATCTGGTCTAAAACAGACCTCACTGAGACATCTGCTTCTAAAAAATATACTTGTTTTACAAAAGTGAAGAAAATCCACTTTTTAAAATGAGGCTTGATGATAAACTTGTCCAAATATTTTTTTTAAACATCTGTACCTTTAGACGGTGAACAATAGCAGATACCAAACGGACTTTAATGAAAGATGGGGGTTTACATTAGACAGGTAGGAAGATGAAACATGATCTACTCAAACCACCACTGTGTAATTATCCTAATCTCAATCTGAGGCCACTTTAGCTTCAGTCATATGCAATGAAATCTACTCTTTTCGTTTTTCTGAGTGCAGGGTCCCCCCCCCATGGAGATGTGTGTCTGGACTGATAAGAGAATGGGGAACTGCTGTGTGCAGATGAAGAGCTGTCATGCAGAGAGGGGTGAAAGGATGAAACCACATCCAGTCAGAGGGATGGACCCCGCTGCTCTCACACTGAATGAAGTGGTTAACCAACATTATGTAACACAATAACCTCAGCTGAGTTAGTTGTATTACTCCTATAATGTTTGTGAAGAGCTCGTTGCACCGGCAGGACATCCTGTGTGTATTTTTCTTTTAATGAACGCTCCATATATTGTTTATATCTGTGAGCGTGTGGAGTTGAGCAACAGTTGAGTCGTGCGAGGTGCATCCGTGTGACTCGTGCTGATGAGTCATGGGTGAAAACCCAACGTCCGTTGGTCCTTGTTTTCAAATGTGGGGGTCTCTCTATGGAATTTTTAACAGGATATTAGAGAGTGGGACTCACTTCTGTGGAATCTGCCTGCTTTCTATTTCCGTAACAT